TTGAGCCTTTAGGGCTTTTAGGGTTTTCAGATGTTAGGCGTTTTTAGGGCTGAGGGATGTTTAGGGTGTAGGGTTTTTAGGGCTTGGGGTGCTCGGGGTTTGAGTTTTTTCGGGTTTGTGGTTTTATGGTTCAGGGAGTTCAGGGTTTAGGTGTTTAGGGCTGTTAGGTGGTTTTCGGGTTTAGGGTGTTTAGGGTTTTGAGCCTTTAGGGCTTTTAGTTGCTTTGCTACTTGCATGGCTAGCATAGCAGCGCAAGATTCCGGTCAGCAATGATACAGCCATCACAAAAGGGAAACCTGTAAACTACACACCGTGCACCAACTACAACCTTAAAGGAACCCGGATATGCCGGCACTGCCACAGAGGGATACAGCCGCCAATTTGGAGCTAATCCCCGCCGTGGTCATGCTATTGCGGAGGGAAATTTGGCGCATTGAGGGAGGCATGAGGGTTGGTCGGGTCGAGACATTGGGTGGGAGTACAGGACGGCGTAAGGCCGGAAGGCTTAAGATACACCCATCACCGCGACTAACCCCAAGCCTGTGTGGGCAATGCCTGGCGGCAGGAAACATGGGCCATTCGGGAAACATGGCGCATTCGGGCAGGACTGGAGGTGCGGATTCGAGTTTGGGGTCGGCATTGCACACGTGTTGATAAAGCACCCCGACGGTCCATCATCCTTGTCTCACCAGCGCTGGACTTGGGGTTGTTAGGCTTTAGGGGTCTTAGGGTTTTGGGATGTCAGGATTTAGGAGGCCAGGGTATGTAGTGGTTTTCAGGTTTAGGGTGATTAGGCTTTCAGATCTTTAGGCTTTAGGGTATTTAGGGCTTAGAGTTTTGTTGGGTTTATATAAGGTTTTTAAGGCTTTTTATGGTTTAGGGATGTCAGGATTTAGGAGTTTAGGGTTTGTAGGTGGTTTTCGTGTTTAAGGTGTTTAGGGTTGCGGGTTCTTCTGGTTTAGAATGTTTTTTTTAACCAACCCCTCGCACCTTTTCTGATGCAAGCTGAGCTGGGGTGGAAAAGGCCTATGCTGAGTCAGTCCATGGCCACCCACATCACTCCCTCAGACTAACTACCCATCGCATTCATGGGAGTCATCACCAGCCACTAGGGTAGCCGCGATTTCACGTCCGCTACTTACTCCAGGCAAATCTGCTGCGACCGGGCCTACATTCGGTCCTACTTCAGACGCTTCAGGTGGTAGGTCAGGTAGCGGTACTACTTGGGCACCGTCGATTTCTTCATGTACATCAGCTCCGTTACCCGTAGTCGTCGTTCATCACACTCCGCCATGGTTCTGTCATCGACCTCAAGGTTCACTCCACTGCCATTTCGGTTTTCTCCAACCACTTCCCTTGCAAATTCACCTCCAGGTCCCCAGCTGCCGTCGTTGGCTGCGCCATTCACATTCTCCTCTGCAAGCATCTCCGCATCGACTTGGGTCCTCACCGTTCGATGGCGTTTAGGGCTAGGCCCTTCTTCCATGGAATTTTGCACTGCCCAGTCGTCCCAGGCTTGCTCCACTGCGGCCGATTTGCGGAGGCGTGCTTTTTCAACCTCCGACATCAATGCACCCATTGCCCTCTGCAGCGCCACCACCATTTCGACAAAGATGAATTCCATTCTTTCCGCTTCTTCCACAGTGTTGTCATGGGAGTCTGGTATCTCAATGACTTGCGAAAGCTTCGCAACTTCTAAATCCATCCATTGCCTGATTCTTGTAGTCCATGTAGTCATCCAGGCATCCACTTCATCTGGTGTCGTCCCGTCCATGTCATCCTCCGGGAGGGACGCAGTCACTGATGTTAACATCTCCACCAGGTCACTGACACCCTCCGGGACCTCTCGGAATAGGCTCTCCAGGTGGATTGCCATGCGTCGTAGCTTTGCTCCTATGCCTCTGCCAAGTTCCTGTCTCATTTCCAGGTCATGCTGTAACATACGAGCAACTCAGAATCTGTCACCAGCCTGGTACGAGGCAAAGGCAGGCACTCGGCTTAAGTACTGCATGAGCATGGTTTCGTCGTCATCCAGGACAGTACAGGTCTTTCCTGCCTTTCTTACAGCATTGCGGACCTTCATCCAGAAGGTTTTCCACCACCTGGGCAGCACTCCATGCGTCTCCATGAACTTCAGTGCCCCAAGTTGTGATGCCAGCATCTTGGAGATCTTGCGGATGCCAGGCAGTTTGCTCTTCATACCTCGGAGGATGGCACTCTTTGTTACCTTCTCGATCTGAGGAGTGACCTGTCGGAGGTAATGCGCCTTGAACTCCTCCAGGAACTCCTTGGCTTTTTCCGCAGACAGGATTCCCAATTGTCTGCCATTCTCCTGCATTGTCTTGCTTTGCTGCATGAGTTGTGATTCATCTGCTTCATCATCCTCCGGTATGTTCTCGCCTCCGCCGTCTACCGGAAGGTCCTCCTCTTCAACGTCAAACTCACATTCATGCACCACTTCCTCCATTTCCTCGTTGTCGACTGTGTTTGGGGCTTAGCGTTTTTAGCGCTTAGGGCTTTTAATGGTTTGACCTTCAAGCCAGAACCACCCACCAACAAATGCATTACAAGTTCCATAAGCCTTCACAGCTACTTCGGCCAAGCGACAGCCAAAAAATCACTTAGGACGAGATGAGCGATGAGCATGAAAATTCAGGAAGCAAAACACAATCACTTAGGGCAGATTGGAAGGCCACGACAGTAGGGTCCGAGAGCCGTTTGGCTGACCTCTGCTACGTTTTCTTCCCTGCGAGCCTCCGATACGAATCTCATCCTAAGTGTTTTCTCTTCCTAAGCGGCCTAAGCAAGCTCCCCACCTATAGAAACCCCTTACTAAATTGGCGTTGACTTATAAGAAAACGTCCTCAAATCATAGGCATCGCCAGAACCTACGAGCTCAAAGCTGTTTTTTAAACTGAAACCGCATCCTGCAGAATTACGTAAACAAATGAAGAACCCCGGATCTGAGATTCCTGCATATGACTTCACAGCACATCTATCATGCAATTTATATACAGATATCCGGAGCCGAGGATTAAAGAATGTTCGCTTGAATTTGGAGCATATTCGGTATGGAAATTATGTGATGTCAGGTCTGTAAACAGATTGCTTACTTCAAACCACGCTGAAAAAATGAAAAATCGACATTTTGTTCCAGTTCTGAAGGCTGCCGCCTACAAGGCAACGCTTCTTGCTGAAAAACCGTACCCCACCTAGCACATTGCCTGGACATGGCTACATACCAGGGTCGAGATGATTGAAAATTCTGCGTGATCGGGTGGGGGGCGGCCTTCGCCCATTGGTCCAGCCACAAGACCGCGAAGGCCCGTGGTACGCAGAATCTTGGCCACAATCCTTTGAGCAATACAGGATTGGTAGACACAAGATTGCTTGTCAAATTTCTCCAACTGGCCACTCAAATCATCAGAGCTTCCGGCAGTCCGTCACGCATTCTTCTAAGGCTGCAGGCACTTCCGCACTATCGTCAGAGAAGTCTTCAAAATCATTCGCAACCTTGTTACAAGAGAAGCAGGTTGCAAAGAAATTGATGCCAGGGTCTTCATTGCATTAGGAAGCGCAATAGATTCAGTTGGAAGGGATAGTGTCTCCATTTACGATCAAGGACGACGGCCCTTTATTGCCCGGAGATGAGACCGTTTACCCTTGGTTGATTCAAAGTGGTTTTCATGTTCTGTCTGGGCTCCCAGCGTCGCATGCAGCCAGCCGGGGCACACGTGGCTCGCAGCGCTGTGGCTGCCAAGCCACGCTGCGAACGGCCCTGAGGCATCAGCACCAGCTCTGTTTTAGGATGTTGGGGAGTTTTATGGAATGCTCCGACCTGGCGCTAAGAGGGACTCTGCGGGGTGATGCCCAGCGACGGGCCATCACATGATGTCAGACGGTGCCCGCATGGGAGCCATTGCTGCAGGCAAAGCTTCAGCAACAAGGCCGTGGCTACAGCTCTGGACTCTAGAGTCTCCAGAGCTTGAGCAGTGTATGCGGATGCTTATTCTGCTCACCTGCTTCCATGGTGCCGGTTGCAGGAACAATCTTGAACCGATAGCTATCTTAAAATGCTTCGCGGCCTCGACTCCGAGCCACACTCTCGAAAACAATGGGTCATGGGCGGTCATGGACCAGCCACAGATTGACATTTTTTCGCGCGCACCCTCAGCCTGCACATCGAATGTAGCATCATTCATCATGCAGGCATGCGACGGCCTTAGTCAACCAAAACCTGCATCTGCCACATGGAACAGGAACTTGAAAGGGCAGCAGGGTCTTCCAACATTACTGCAAAGCAGCGTAGGTCCGCGTCCGCTCGTCAAAGTCGACGCGGATCGCGCCCTTGCCTGTCAAATCTGAAGCCTGGCGAGGGAAGACCGCATGCATCATGCTGGGGCTCTTGCAGGGGAACTCTGCACTTTCTGCACTCAGCCTGAGGCAATCTTCCAAGAAAACCTAGAGCATCTAGATCAGCCGTGTAGGGCGGCGGGCGCAGAGTGCCCGCACACTTACGCTTGTGGTCTTCAGGGCCTGAAACCTAGTAAGTGGAGCGGAGAGTTCTCAAATTGCATTACAACAAGAAGCCATGAGCATTAAGCTCGCAAAAAGGTGCTGTTGCCACAAACTCCAACGATTGCATGAGCATGAGCCTCACCCCCAATTGATTCCAGTCAATTCGAAACAAACCTGGATAAGCAGCGCTGAACTGGGCTCCTGGAAAGCCCTGGCACGAACATCAGCCACCTTGACAGCAGCCACATATTCTCGAGTCAACGCGAGGATCTCCGACTCCTTCATTCGAGAAGGCAGTCGACTGTTTGGCACTTCAGGCGATTCCTGGAGCTGCTAAGAATCTTCGATTTCTGTGTCCACTGCCTTCCAAAGAGCAAGCATGGGAGACACCGCATGCATCACAATGCGTCACAGTTCGTTACCTCCTCCAATCGCTTCAGCACCCAGTGCACTTGCAGGTCCCGAATCGCCTGCACACATCTGTCAGCCCATCCTTGTGTGCTGAGACGAGATGAGAGACACATGGAGCCAGACTAATTGAGCACTAATTGAGCGACAAACAGGAGACAAATGGACAACTTGGAGACAGCAGCAAGATAAAGAGAACACAAGTGAGTCCGCCAGTCCCAAATCGGCGTCACAGCATCCACAGTCTGCCCATGTCTCAAAGAACAACAAACAGGCGACACGGAAAAAAGAAACAAGAGACGAATGTGTCCGGCAGTCCCAGATCCACTTCGAGAACAACATCCATGTTGTGCTTTCATCACAAAGAGAGAGAGAGAGAGAGAGAGAGATGCAAGACAAAGGGGCAACGAATGGGAGACAAATGCGTCCTCCAGCTCCACGTTCAGCTTACAACACAATTGGAAACAAATTCAACACAAAAATGGAAGATACAGGGGGGACCCATGGGAGCTAAATGGGAGACAGGTGGGAGAAATGCATACAACAGTCCCAGCATGGCATCAGAGCCTCCTCCACCCTGTGCATGTCACAAAGCAAAAAAAGATAGAAACGGAATGAGAAAGAAACAGGAGACTCCAATTGGAGACACAGGAGCCCACCAGTCCTAGAGTTATGCTTGCGTCACACCGGCAACAGAAATGGGAGACATGCGGGGGACAAAGGAAACCGCCAGTCCCACGCGGGCGTCACATTCTCAAGGGTCTGCCCTCTTTATGCTCTTCATACAGGAACAGAGATTAAATTACACCTTTTGGAGCAGTTCGGCGACAGATTTTGAGGGGGTGTCACAGAATCCTCTTCTCAAAAGCCAATCAAAACCTCCGTCTAACCAAGAACCTCACAGCTGAAGCTGGTTTGTCGCTAAATGATGCCACGCACGAAAGGCAGACCTGCTTCAGCACAGGATGGAAATGACCGGTCAGGACATCCTCTTTGGCATACCATCGGAGATCAGCGTATTCCTCGCATGACATGCTCATGGTCCGGGGTTGGAAAGAGGCAAGCAATTCATGCGCCTCCTTGTCGATCCTCAGCTGGCTCTCCTACGGCTGCGTGTCACACCTACACTCTACCACTCTGCACTTTGCCATGTCTGCGTTACGAGATCCTCCTCCGGATGCAGCACCATGAAGTGCATGGTTGAGATGTCCTGCCACAGTGCTAAGCCACTAAGCCGCCGTCATCTGCAAAACGTGTTGGATGAGAATCCGAGGCGGCGGCAGCGGTGCCATGGTCTGCCGGAGCCTGATTACGCTGTCAAGTTCAACTTCCGCGGTTTCGGCGGTTTCGGTTTCAAGCCTGTGCCCGCATCGCCCAGGTCAAGGAATAGCTGCCGATGACCTGTCATGCTGAAGACTTGCAGCTCCAGGCATGGCTTTGTCTCAGTGCAGCCCCTATCGCGGTCCATCACGCATTTTCCCAGCTTTTGAACATCAATTGCTCTACAGAGGCTGACTTGAAAAATCAGCGGATCAGCCTTCTGATGATGCCTTTCACCTTTGGCACAGGCCTCTTCTTGTAAGGGTTCCTTGGATACGGTGCCGCACCCCTCTTCATTTTGACGTCCAGTCGAACACTGAACTCACGCGGTCGAAGGTAGTCGCAGTAATGCGAGAGCACTCCGGTCACTTGTTCGTTGTAGGATCTTTGCTCTGTCTGCAGCTGAGCTCCCATGGCCAGCTTTCGAGCCACATCCACCAAGATTGGACTGCACCACAAAGCAATCTCAGCAAGCCCTGGAGTGGGCTGAAGTTGGTGCAATCTCCCGGTGCGAAAAGCAGCCCAGGACCATCGGCCAAGATGAGCCGCCATATCTTCTCAATCCATCTTACGCTCTGGGCATGCTGTCGCCTAGGGGCCTAGTATGGAGCCGAGCAGAACTCAAAGACATCTGATTTGTGCAGGCTTCAAGTCACAGTCAACAACTTGCGTCGCCAGCTCTCTTTACCATGAATGCCTGACGAACTTGCGCAGCGGCCTTGAAGCGCGACAGCGGGAAATCCAGACCCAACTCTCTCCTCACATTTCTCGCCGCAGCCTCTCTGCGAAGTGGAGATACCCCAATCATCGCACAAGCAACCAAGCTTGGTGCCTGCTGTGGAGTCTCCCCAGGCCTAGCCCGACCACCTATGCACCACCTGAGCTCACACGCATATAAAACAGGGCTTGGATTGTGCTGGGCCCTTAGCTCACAATTCTACGCGTGCGGTTTATTGCGGCCGAGTGAACCAGCTATGGATGACGGCTTTATGCAAATGTAGCGCAAAGGGGCTGCAGCCAGAGAGTTCGGTGACAAATAGGGCATTCAAAATTTAAAGCAAGGCTGCCTCGCCTGACTCAGGAGCTTCAAGCAGCTCATCAAACACAAGGCGGGAACGAAGCTGAAGAGCACTTGACGGCCGGAGGAAGCAATGCTACATGAAAGGACAAACCGCCATGCGCCCAACGGCTCTCTGTGACGCATGGGTCCCGGAGAGCTCCCTTCTGCTTATGGTCAAGCGATTCTCGCTCACCACTTTTTTTGTGCTGAACAAGAGTGACATGATTCCAAGCGAACACCCAATACACGAAGGCAGCCGCGTCAACTTTACATGCCGAGACATGCCTTCATGAATGCAGCCTTGTGACAGATAGGCTCTGCTAGAGAGGAGCCAAAGCCAAATGTGCAAGACGACTGGACGACTGTGTGCAGAGACAAGGCCCGAACCAGTCCGGTTGGGGATGCACCTGGACATAATCTTTCGGCAATCATGGGGAGCTCGACTCTGCTTGGCAGGCCTTGCGCTTGCCGAGGAACACTCGTGCGCCATCTGGTGAGATGACCAGGATGTCTGACCTGAAGGGAGAAGTTTATCATTCTTGCAACGTCGATCGCACTTGCAACCCCTCGAGCACCCGGCACAGCTTTGACCAAAGCATCCAGGGCACGGCCATATTCTGCATCCTCACAGGCAATGAGTCTGGAGCCTGTCCGCTGTGGACCAACCACCTGCTGGCTCCTCCAGAAACACGTGATGCGCCTTGAAGTTTCCGGTGATGAAGCGTGGGACGTGCATGGGATGCTTTGCTGACGTCTGATGGAACAGGGGAGCGGGACCTGTTTGTTTGACAACCCCAAATGCTCGTACTGCACTTCAGATTTCCCATGAGCTGGAGCCAGGCAAATGTCAAGCTGGTTGAACTGTCCAGGCTGCGATTCGAGTTTCAGGCGCTTTGCAGGGCTTTGCATAGGAATGCTTTGTGCTTTGCCAAACAATGTGCAGAGAATCTGCCAGGAGCCCGGCTTGCACTGGTGCGGCCTGACCTGCTTGGAAGCCTCATAGGCGATTCCTCAGATATTCCAAGACAAAGCAGAACAGATCAACTTTTAGGTTTGCTCAGCTGCTCAACCTTACCACGACACAGCTGTGCGGCTGCTTCTGAGATGCCCACCCCCCGCTGCGGCGACTCCCCCCGCTGCCTGGCGTGATCATGATCATCAATGACAAGCGTACAGCTCTTCTCACAGGCTGTCTGAGTCACTGAGGCCAGTGACGGGTACCTATCTGCTGGGGATGTTTTTGGTGATGGCCTTAGCTCCACACGACGCGTTGCAGCGCACAAGCATCAAGGAGGGGAAAGCAGCTCAGGAAACCTGCTCTCGTGAGCCAGGCCGGCTTCCTTCGAAGCTGGAGCAGATGGTCCACGAACTGTTCACATATGCATTGAGACAGGCGCCATGCTCGTCTCTGCGGCGGCCGGGGGGACCTTTGACACGCACAGGCATTTCAAACGGGCTCGAGCATTTGCCATTGCCCATAATTGCCCACACTGCACGTAAAAACACAGGGAGGCAAATTTTGAAAAGTCTCAGGCGAGAGCTCGATTTTGAAATGAAAATGGCGGAAAATGTTGAAATCTTCTAAAGAATCTGAAAATCATGAAATTAGATACCAAAAAATATTTTTACGAGTTGATGAAATATGATGGAGAATCATCAGAAGGTGGCATGTTATGGGGAAACGTGACGAACACTTACGAGATATGATGAATAGATGAAATGTGATGATCTATGGGGTGAAATGAAGAAACATGACGAAAATGAGAGAATATGATGATACTATGACGAAAATGACAAGAAATTCTGAAAACATGATGAAGCAGAATGAAATATGATTAAATATGATGAAGCATGATATAAGTTATGAGTCATGAAATCTGAGGATAACGATGACACATCATGAAAATTAGTAAAGACTGATGAAAGTTATTGATAACTTCTGGCAAATCGTGGAAGCTGCTGAAAGATGATGAGAAATGATGAACATGAAAATAAGTAAGTAAAATTATCAGAAAATTTCAAAAATGAAGAACAAGGATGAAATATCATGAAAAATCATGACATGGTCAAGCATGAATGATCTGTATAACTTGGGAGAACCGTTGGAGTACGAAGACTCCACTGGAATTCTTCATAATGCCCGGGAAAAGGCCCGGCAAAAGTCTGGGAGAACTGGCCGGCAGAATTCAGCAATCTGCTCAACTCGCGGGAGAACTAGCCGGTAAACGTCCGGGACAACTGCCTGGTCAGATTTAATTTAAAGGTTCTCAGTGATTGCCGGCAATAGTCCTGGGCTGTTTGCCAGGCAGATAACCGCAGTTTCAATAGTTTAAACCTGAAAAGATCTTTTTTCCGGACCTTTTTCTCCACGTGTAATATCCAAGCAAGATGCTCTTGGAGCACTTTAGGGTGTAGGGTTTAGGTTAATGATATCATCGACCGGTATTGACCGAAATTATCCTTCTCCCACCATGTTCAAAGGACTCTGGATCAGACCCTGCAAGACCCTATAGTTGGACGCGATGCTTCCACGGGGAGATAATAAGTATAATACTATATTACCATATCAAATTCTATGATACTCATACTGTATGCTAATACTATAACACACTGCCAGATGCTGGGACGCTCCCCACACCTCCCCCTCCCCCCTTCAATGAGGCACGTATTTGGCAATGGTCAGCTCCCGCCCATCCCCGCCCTGCCTTTTCCCCCCCGCGCGCGAGGTAGCCCAGTCGATGGTCTCATGCTCTGCGGAAGCCACCGCTGAGGCTGCTTTCTACACCTGATTTCATGCGAATTTAGAATTTGGTGGGTAATTAGCACGAATCATCCGCTCGTTTCCTCGAAAATTGACATCTCCGGTTGCACTTATGACCTATAAGCGTTATGAACCAGATTTTGCACGGAACACAGAATTCTACCACGTACTTACCCCAACATTTTATTTCAAATCTAGAAATTTGCCACCAACCTATCCCAAATCTTCCTCCCTACGCATGAAATTTTGCCTCATGTTATTCCCTAAAGCGCAAACTCTGCCGGCTACTTATCTGGGTTTCTAGTCGGAGTTATCGCCAGATTGTCCCTTAAAACATCAGTTCTGCCGGCTGCTTATCCTGGGTTTTGATCGCTTTCGTTTGGCCCTCCAATTCTTGCCGGCTACTTATCCGAGGTTTTTGCCGGCTACTCATCCTGGAAATCAACGCTTTTGACCCTTATAAAGTCTTCGTACCACCATGGGTCAGCCAATGTATGCCCATGCCGTACTGCAAACATGGCGGCTTATTTGTTGCGACAAGATGGATGGCCTTTAAAAGAGCGGGGGGTGGGGTGGCCCTCCCCCCATGCGTAAAAATAAGATCTGTATAACCATCCCTTATTGCACACATGGTGACGACATGATGCTTCTTTGTTGCGGCATGCATGGATAGCCTTTAAAAAATGGGGGGGGGTGAGCTCCCCCGCGCCAAAATAAGATCTGTATAACAATCCCTCAGTGCAAACACGATGAAATGATCCTTCTTTGTTACGACAAGCATGGATGGCCTTTCAAAACCGGAGGGTTGAAGGGTGCGCAGCCCCTCCATTGCAAACGACAAGGATGAAGATGATGAAAAATGATGGAAATTACTGTAAGATGATATAGACTATGAAAACCAAATCAATAAAGATCACGAAAAAATTGCAAGGATGAAGAACGATTTAAAAGATGAAATTGGAAAGCAGTCATGAATATTGTTGAAAACCATGAAAAACATGGCACTGGCTGAAATCTGATGGAAATTATGAAAACATGGCAAATGATGAAAAAATGTGACACATGATGGATGGAAACGGCAAGTGCTGAAGAAGCAAGAAGCAAAAATCAACAATCGCAGATAGCAGCGATCGGGGAGCTGAGTGCAGTCAACGAGAAACAGGAGAAGCAGAAAGCAATGAGCACCCAGGAGATGGAAGCAAAAAGCTGACAGCAAAAAGTAAGAAGCAAGAAAGAGAAAGCAGAAAGCAAGAAACAAGAAGCAAGAGGCAGAAAGCACAAGCAGAAACAAAAGCAGAAGCCAAAAAGCCAGAAGCCAAAAAGCAGAATTCAAAAACACAAAAAAGCAACAAGTAGACGCAAACAACATAGAACAAGAAGCGAAAAAACAACAAGCGAGGAGCAACAAGCAGAAACCAAAAAGCAGAAAACAGTAAACAGTAAGCAGAAGCACGGGAACCCCAAAAAAATCCCTGAAAAGAATGGGCCTTCAAAACACAGCCGTTCTTGCGACTGTTGTACTTAGCAACAACCGTTAAATAACCTGTGCACCTGGAACGACTCTTGGCGTGAGCGTAGGCGTACTGGGTTTTGGAGCACCGCTGCTGGCCCGTCAAGCTCAAAACAGCTTGTCGTGCGGCAGGCAAGGGCGAGGCATTACCAGGATGCTGAAGTTTTGCACAGGCAACGGGTCCACGCGCAAGCATAGCGTGCAGGACTGTCCCTGCGTCT